GCTGATGGGTGTGGAAACAGTCCCAAACTCAAGGGCACTAATGATTCCTGGCCAATTATTTGCAAGGCTGATCAATGCTAGAAAGGAATACAGCCTTGCTACTCAACGTATGCTCTTTGTCTAGCAGCAACATCTGCACTGCCCAAGGGCTTCTTGGAAATCCAGACTTCTTGGCCCCACCCAGAACTATTGAATCGGAACCTGCATTTTAAAAGATCCTCCTGTGATTCTCCTGCACGTGAACGTTTAAGAAGTGCTGGACTAGAGCACACTGGGATCACCTGGGGAGTTCTACAACACACTGCGGCCTGGGCCCTACCTCCCCGAGAGTCTCACTGAATTGCTTTGGTGAATGGCCTGGCCACTGGGATTTGTAAATACTCCCCAGGTGACTCAAGAGTGCAGCAGACTCTGAGAAACACCAGACTGTTTAACATTCCATTATCCTTACAAGAATATTTCAGCACACTGCCAGTGAAGGCAGGTGTCATTCTGAACAACCATCAGTGAAACCAATGTGTAAATGTAAGGACATCTGCTTAGCGATCTGCTGTGGTGTGTAAGACCTTGCCAAGATTACGACTTGCCTGTGCCAATATTTAGCCAATATAAACATTATCTAAAATGGAAAACGGTTTGGGACTTGGAGCAGGTGGATACCAGGCAAGTTCAGATGAAGGTAGATCAGGAAAAACACCTGATTGCTACGTGACAGGTAGAGGATAGGGCCAGATTTCTGGGAAGAGAAAGGTCCTGGGGACAGGTGACAATGGCACTGGGCAGTGGGGATGAAAGCAAGCATGGGTTTAGCAAACGGTGTTCATTACGCTGTGATCCCCAAACCTGAAAGAGACAGAGGATTCCAAACAGTAAACAGTCTGGCCCATGTAATCATACCTCCCTTCTCAGGAAATCTTTTATCTCAGAAATTTATTACATCAAAACATACTATGAGTATGTCTTTGTTGCTAGTTACCATCAAGTCAGCTTCTACTCCTGGGGATCTTACGTATAACGGAACAAAAATGTCCCCGATCCAATGCCATCTTCAGTCACGTTGCCAGAAGGGGCCAGTCCCTGGAGAAGGGTATCATGTTTGGTAAAGTATAAGGTTAGCAAGAAAGGGAAAAGGGGAAGACTCTCAATGCAATGGATTGACACAGTGGCTGCAACAACGGGCTCAAGTGTCACTACGATTGTGAGGATAGTGAAAGATCGGACAGTGTTTCATTCCGTTATACGTGGGATCGCTAGGAGTTGGAAATGACTCAACAGCAACTGGTAGCAACAGAGCAAATGCCATCTTCATGATCACTGTTGTGTTTGGGTTCACTGGTGTGGCTATGGGGTCAGTTCATCTCACTGAGGAGTTCCCGTTTTCACTGATCTTACCAAACATGAATGCAGGAGGGAATAAAAAGGCCTGTGATATCAAAACATGACATGCATTTATTCATTTAAAGAGGAGTCTCTCATTCAAAGTCTGGCTACCTTTTAGTCACAATTACACAGTCTTGGTTGTTTAGGTTTCTTGTCTGTAGTAGACAAAAAGCAATCATTTTAAAGAGGGAGCAAAACGGCAGTGTCTGCAGGCAAACACTGTCTCTTACTCCTTGCACTACCCCTTGAGGGTGACACAAAATCATGCTCCATAAATATTTCTGAGAGTTGGGTCAATGAACAGGGAGCAGAAACAAGAGATGAGACTAGACAGGTGGACAAGGTGAGACCCGAAGATCCTTGTCTGCTCTCTCAAGGAACTTGGGCTTCTCCTTTTTTGCTGACCTATTTTACCTGGGAGCTCTGGTAGCATAGTGCCTAAGGCACTTGACTGCTAACCAGAAG